GAGGCTGGTGGGGGCCCTGTCACTGGGGAACAGGCACCCCCACCCTCAGAGCTGCAGTTCTGCTTCTCCTGGAACCATGCTCATGGGTTTTCTCCTCCCAGTGACTTCTTGAGGTGGGATGGTTGGTTGTGGGGATCTTGGTTCTTGCGAATGGATTAACATCTTGGGCAGGGAGCAGAAGGGAATGCTTCCTTAACAGCACTGTGCTGGACTGGAGCCCTGCCTGAGGCCCACAGGACAGATGGACAGCTTGCTGGATGCACAGCTGTGGAGCGGGGTGGAGTTGCCTCCAACATGCTTTAAAACCTGTGCTGAAAATGACTTTGAACAGGGTGGGGAGAAGTTCAGTGTCTCTTTGGATACAAATAGAAGCCCCAGTAATAGTTGCTGCAGATGGGTTTGGGAGTGTCTGTGGCTGGTGTTGTCTGTTGGGTCCTTACTGTAAGGCTGAATCTGTGCTGCAAGGGGGAGATGACCAAATCAGAATGCCAGCAGTGCAAGATAAACCACAGCATTCTTGGGTGCTAGCATCTGATGCCTCTTAAAGTTGTGACCTTCTACAAGTGGCCTTCCCAGTGAATAATTTTCAGTGTGTAAGTACTTACAATTTCTCTGCTCAAAACGTTGCTTGGAATTACAAATTGGAGTATCTCCAAGAAGCTCAGACTTCTGGTACATTGAAAAATGCAAAGTCTCTTGTGTGAAGAGATCCCAGTACTCAGGTTTTCCTCCTTCACTGGTTAAAGGCTTCTGCTCACACCCGATGTACAGATACAGGTCTCTAATGAGAATTCCTGAGCAGCAGAGCGCTGCTGCCCTTGCCTGCCCTGTGCAGTCCACCCAGCACAGTTACTCAATGCTGTTAGTTAATGCCACAGTTCACCCTAAAGGCATCTCAGTCATGGGTGACCAGAGAACACAAATGGTGGTGGTGCCTGGGAGGAGCACCTGGACCATGCTCTGTGTGACTTATACACAAGCCAGGCTATGCTTCTCAGCTCTGTGATTATAAGCAAACAGCAGGTACAGTAAGCAGACCTGAGGGTTGTGGGGAGCTGGTGAAGTGCTAAAATGTTCCTCCTGGTTATCTGAGAGCTTCAGAAGGGTTTTGCTGGGCTGGCTGCTCTGTAGGTCTCTATGGAGGCAGTGCACAGATTGGGCTGTAAGGTGGGTGAACTGCTCCCTCTGGGATGCTGCTGGTATAGGCTGGAGCTTAGTGGAGTAAGGATTGTGGCAGGAGGGTCCACAGCCCGTCCCCAGCTTAGTAACATATTTCCCTGTGGGGCACCTCTCTGTGTAGTATCAAGGTGAGTTTTTTCCTTTTCAAAGATGAGTGCTACTAAGATTTATGAAGGAAAGGCACTGAGGGAGTGGGTATTTATAGCATTTCCATGAACAGGCTCTTGAAATGCAGTCATGTAATGTGGCTTTCCAGGAGTGTGGTTTTGTTTAAGCAGCGTAAGACTACTTCTAAAATTGCTTTGGTGCTCTAAAGACATTAATCCTTTCAGAGCAGGAGGTGGCATCTTCACAGGGATTCCCCATCTTTGTCTAGATGGAAATAGTTGTTACTTCTTGACTAATAAAATTCAGGTAGGTTTCTCATCTGTGCCTCTAATGCAGGTCTTGACGTTCAATCTGCAGAATGCCCAGACAGCTTTTAAATAGACCAGATACAGGTTCGAGGAGGCCTGTCTGTTTGGCTGTAGCCATGAAGGCTAGAAACCTGCTTTAGCAGAAAAATAAGGTTGGAAGTGGCTGCTGTGAACTCATAAAAATCAGTGAGTATCTGTATTGTCTTCAGTGGTAATTGTAACTGTGGATCACTTGCTTGGACTCTACAAATAAAACATTCCATGATATGGTATAATTTCAACCTTGAAGTGTCCTTCGAGTTGATGAAAATCAGAGGTCAGGCTGCTTGGAATGTGGCTGTTCCAGTTCCCTTTGCTACTGAAACCTACTCTTAATGCAGCTCCTTCCATGAGACCCTAGGGTAAACATGGGCCCAAAATCTCTGAGGGGATAATGCCAATGACGGTGGTTCTCCCTTGCTGCAAGATTACTGGGTTGTTTCACTTGACAAATGAGGTTGTCTTGTAATAGGAGAGACTGTTTCAGAGCACATTGCTTTATGCATGAGGAAACGTCATTTGTTCATCTCTTCCTAGGGAGAAAGGAGGGATGCAGGGAAGTAACAGCAGTCTGAGCCCTGCTAATGCATTTGAGGGCAGCCTGACTCACCTTCACAACTGTCTGTGGCTTGGAGCCTTTGAGGTAATTTAACCAGAATAAGGATGGCTTGAATAGGTCCTTGAAGTCACTGGAATGATCAGAAATATCCCCAGGCTCTACTGAGTCAGCAACAGCAACAAAATAACTGGGCACTTCATGCTAGACACACACTTGAGGGCAATTATGATATTTAAATCTGAACCCAAATACTTTGGCTCTGATCTCGCTGGTGCTGGCAGGCAGTGAGGTCAGCGCAGTCTGGTGGTGTTTGAACAGAGGCCTCCTAAGGTGACACTGGATTTAGTATTCTTTTATGACTCCTACATTTAGGCTTTCAAGAAGCAAATGCCTGTCTCTTGGGAAGCAGAGGGAGAGGATCACAGCATGCCCAGGGGTCGGGAGGGCTCTCCAGGCTAATGCTGAAACACAGCTCCTTTGCTGGGGCTGCATCAGTGGGTACTGCCTAAGCCCTGGAGAGCAGCCGTGCAGGATGGTAATGTGGAAGCATACTGCTTTCTAAAAGTAATTATGCAAGGAAGACTATAAACAGACATCCCTGCCTCAAAATTCAATCCTCCCCAGCACAGCTGTGAATTCTAACAGCTTGCTTAAATAAGCCTTAGAAGATCCTGTGAGCAGGAAGAGTCTAGTGCTGCAAAGCTGAAAGCTGAAGTGAAACTTCCACATTTTGTTGTTGTTCTGCACCTTTGTGGAGCGTGGCTGGTGTTAGCAAGTGAACTTAGCTGATGGTGCTGCAGAATAAGGTGTGTGCCTGCTCCAGTGCCCCTGTGGGTTGTGTTCCACATCATAGCGTGAGCTGATTTTAAAATAGGCTATGACCTGCAGCAGCTCCAAAGCAGATCCATGCCCTGTTGAGCTGTAGACCTTTGAAAGGGGTAAGTCAGCAACTGGAACACTCCAAACTGGTGGGATTGACCTCTGAGCCATGAGGGCGCACTGCCTGCCCCGATGGTCCAGGAGCATCTCTGTCCTACGGGAATACCGGGATGCTCTTGGCTGCCTCAATACCTTGTCTTTTCCCACAGGTATGAGAAACACTGAAACTTAGGTCAGAGTTGTGTTGAGGGAGAAGGGCAGAGTGCTCTAGGTGAGCTTACCCTGACTTTTGCTTTTGAAACCCATTGTAAGATGTGGCTTCTGGGTTTGCTGCACAGTCAAAAGTCTCTGGTTTATGGCTGCAGAGGGCTTCAGTGGGATTAATTTGCAAATGCACTGATCAAAGCATCCCTGGTTCTTTAAGGCTTACGATCTTTGTTTCAATTGCAGTGTTTCTTGTAGCCACAAACTTGTTTTTACAGCTTCCATAGTCAACCCTTTGACCACATGTACATTAACAGGAGCAGGTTTTTTTGTTGGTACTCTGTAATTTCCTTCTAGCAAAATGTGTGATGCTCTTCAGCTGAGCTGGATGGCATAAAGTGGTCCAGAGGAGCAAGACAGGGATGCTGCAGTTTCCTTCTGTATATAGAGCAGCACAAATACTATTCATACTGTCTGTTGGTATGTGGAAGGATGAATTTGGATCTAGCTTATTGACCCTGAACACCACTGATTGTCCCCAGGAAACTGCTGCCTTTCTGTGCTCATGTGCTGCCCTCCCCTTGTTTTGCCTGGCTGCATTGTTCAATGTCAGACAGCAATTGATTTCCTTTCCCCAATTACAGTGCTGTGGATGTAAACAGCAGCTGGGAAATCTGAGCTGTGCTCCTGTTAAACATGCCAGCACCACCACTGCACCCCTCCAGCACCTGGGTTCTGGGTGCCATGGAGTCACAGAGGCTCGCTGTTAGGTGAGGATAACCCCGGGCAGCTGGCATTCCAAGTGCTGTCCGTGGGGAAGAACAGTGGCTGTGTGGGCTGGGAGACTAGGTATTTAATTGTAGGGATATGTTTTCTCCACTGACAATTTGAGTGGCTCTTGCTTGTCATAGATAATAGTCCCATGGTACGGTAAGGCAAGGCAGCAGCATGAGTGTTCTGTGTTTTGGTGGTGTAGCCATGGCTTATCAAGGGTTGCTCTGTTCAGGCTGTTTCTGCACTGCACGGTACAAGACAGGGCTTAAGACTTGGCCTAGAAGTTGCCATAGCTGTGGCAATGAGAGAGAGTCATTGAGAGAGCCCTTTTACAGTGACTGTGGGCACTGTTCATCCAGTGGCTGTTCACTTGGAATGCCAGCAGAGGACATATTTTCCTTTAACACATAGCAGCAGGGCTTTAAGGTACTTCACAAACGTTTGCTCCATCAGCATCTAACAAACTTTATGGCTTCTTTCCATTTTTATAGGAAAAACCACCACCCTGCTCCAGACACTGAAACTTGTCAACTGATGGGACAAAGAACTGAGACACTTGGCTGTGTTAGGACACTAAAACATAGGGTTTAGCCACAGAAAAATTCCCCACCGTGGAGGCTTACACCTGCCAAACTCTGCAGCATTCTTAGGAGGCTTTTCTATTCCTTTTCTCCATTTCCAGCCTTTCACACATCATGATTTTCCTTTTAACTTCTTTTGCAAGCTAGCTCTGGCTCTGCCTTCTGCTTCCCCTTATGCTTTGGTTTGGGTTACCAGTGTGAGCTGCTGGCTGTAGGCTGTTTCTGCATTTCTGCCTCCAGCTTCTGCTTGGAGGCTCCTCTTGGATGTTGTGACTGACCTGCTTTTTCTTTCTCTCTTGCTGTATCTCTCTTTTTCTCTCCCCAATCTGTCTTTTGCATTCTCTGTTCTCCCCACCTCCATTCCTGCAGGTTCATCATGCCTAGTGGCATATAAAAAGACTCCACCTCCTGTCCCACCGCGGACCACATCAAAGCCGTTCATCTCTGTCACTGTGCAGAGCAGCACTGAATCGGCGCAGGACACCTACCTGGACAGCCAGGACCACAAGAGCGAGGTGACCAGCCAGTCAGGACTCAGCAATTCCTCAGACAGCTTGGACAGCACCAGGACACCCAGTGTGACGAGGGGGAGCGTTGTGACTCCAGCCAGAGACACTCCCGAGTTACCTCAGAAAAATGCAACTTTGAAAAGTGACAAAGGGACTCTGACCAGCGAAGAGCCTAAAGTGGAGAATATCCCCAAAAGAAAGCTGTCGTCTATAGGAATACAAGTATGGAATAGTTTGTTTTCCTTTGTCCTAAGGAATGTCCTTAACCCATCCATTTAGCGTGTGCATTTTGTGTGACCAGATGTGCAGCTGAACTCAGGGTAGCGACAGAAACTAACTGCCTTGTCAGACTAACTTCCTGTGTTCCTGGGGTGAAATACAGCAGAAGCTTCCATAACAGACCAGAAAGAACTAAGTTCTTTCAGTATAAAATGTTTCATAAGGCAGTGGGACTCTGTTAACCGGGTGAGTCCCTCTAAAGAGGCCTTTTGCTGTTTCTACTCCTGTGCTCTGTACTTAACATCAATCTGCTCCTTGTCTGTCACTGTTCTAGGGACAACTCTTTTCTGAGAGGTGGGCCCTTATACTTAACATGGGCTGCTGCAGTGCAAAATGGTTCCAGGACTGCAGGGAGGAGGGAGCAGTTCCTTGCTGCTCGTTCCCAGCAGGTTGCTGCTTCTCTTGTTGGAAGCATTTAACTCTGTGGAAATCAGTGGAAATGAGCTGTTGATCATAAAGTCAGATGAGAACCCATCGAGTAAATCTGTGCTTTACTCAACAAACTTCAGTCATCTGCAATTGTCCACTCTTCCTGTGGACAGATTTCCCAGTTACAGATGGCTCCTGTGAGCACTTGGGCAAATCCAAATGTGGTTCTGGGCTTTGAGCCACCACATGTGTTTGTGCTGAATAAGTTCTCCATTGGCTTTACAGTAAGGCTAGCTGGCCAGTTGGGTACATGTGCTAGTGAAGGCTTTTCTGCAGGGCTAGTGGGACAAAATAGATGCTGAAAGGGCAGCAAGGCAAGAGAACTCGCATTGGAGAGGCTGACTGTCTTCCTGTCCTCTTCCTTTTCTGAGCTGGTTCCCCAGCCACCTGCCCCACAGCCTGTGTTTCCTTCCTAAACCCTTCTAATCCTCTTATCCAGAGCTGTGAAGGGTGTCAGTCCCTGGGACAGAGGAAGCTGGGCTTTGCTGTCAGTCTCAATCAGATCACTGCCCTCTCTTGAGTCTCTTGGCCTTTGCCCATGTCAGATACCCATACAGTTGGCCCGTCAGGAACAAGGGACATGCAGCCCATCCCCAGTGTGCCACAGCTGAGCAAACAGCAGTGGGTGGCAGAGCTGAGGGCTATAGAGCAGGTACCTGGCAGGACTGCTGCTCAAGTGGAGGCCAACCTGAGCAGTAGCCTTGTGCCTCTCCTTAGAGACCCCTCCAGTTGGTGTGTGGTGTCAGCATGCTGTGTGTGTGTGTGTGCAGCACTCCTGGTCTACTAATGTGAATTCCAGCAGCAAGTTCTTGTGTCTGTTTTTGTCTGTATTTTTCTTGTTCAATAAGGTTGACTGCCTTCAGCCAGTGGCAAAAGAGGAGCCTCCTCCACCAGCCACCAAATTCCAGTCCATCGGGGTACAGGTAGAGGACGAGTGGCGGTAAGTGAAAGGCGCAAGCTTTTGTAGTTTCCTTTCTTTTCAATTGTGCTCCCCCCACTTTTGCTTAGACCTTCTCCCCTTCTCTGTTCCAATATGAGTGGTGTTGAATGGGGGCCCATGGAGGGCTCTTCCTCCACAGCACACAGCACTTGTTCTGTAAACAGCCAAATCAATGGGAGTTTGAAATTTCAAATGAAAAGTACACGATGTAATTACAGCTGTGCGTCAGTCCTCTCAGCTGAATGCCTATTGCAGTAAGCAGGCAACCTTATAATTTTGTCTGTCTGAATGTGTGGTGTGTGTTTGTGTGTGAGGAGGGGCAGGGTGGGCAGGGTGAGGCTCAGCTGCAGGCATAATAAACAAGTGCGTTTCACTGTCAGTGCGTGTGAGGGCAGCCAGGGTGAGTTCTGCTCTTTAATGTTTGGTTCTGATCTCTCTAGAAACAGCCACTCTCGCAGCATGTCCACCAAACAGGACACAGACTCTGACACACAGGAACCTAATAACTCTAGCTGTAAATCATCTGAGAGAAGCCTCGCTGAGTGCCCCCAACACAACAACTCCGTTGGTGGTGATGCCACTACCAGGCAACCAGCCAAGCCCTCACAGATTAAGAGAAACCTCTCCTATGGAGAAAACAATGACCCAGCCCTGGAGCCTTCCTCTCTCCCTCCTCCTGACCCCTGGCTCGAGACGTCCTCCACCTCACCATCAGAACCCACACAGCCAGGAGCCTGCCGGCGGGATGGGTACTGGTTTCTGAAGCTGCTGCAGGCGGAAACAGAGCGGTTAGAAGGCTGGTGCCGCCAGATGGACCAGGAGACCAAAGAGAACAATCTCTCTGAAGAAGGTAGGTGGTGTCAGCCCTTGGACACCAGATGGAAGCAGCCCAGCAGCTCTTCCTCTGGAGCTGTAACTGAGTGTTGGATCAGCTTTCTGCAGTTACATTGCTGACAACCCACAGTGAACATGGAGATGAGTTTGGGACGAGGAATACTTTGGGAAGGATAAGGTAACTTCCTCTAGCAAATGGGGTAAGAAATAGTACTGTGATGCAGTATGCAAGACGTGCAGGGCATGGTGCAGCTTCTGACCATTCAAAACTGCTAAAAGCTTAAATGGATTGCTTTCCAGGAAGGCTGTGGGATCCTTCTCTCTGCATAACCCATTGTACTCCAGTGGGTAGGTAAAAGCTTAGTTGGCAGTGGGGCAGAATGGGTGCGAGCTTGCTTGATCTGTTGAATCGGTGGACTTGTCTTCACAGCAAAGGGGAGACTTCTTCATAGAGGAAAGCTTTGCTGAATTTGTGACAAATACACACAAAGCACATGTACAGGGAGCACAGGGCAACTTGACTGTATTGGGTTCAGTCCCAGTTGGGCTTGTTATGCTATTTTCAAATGAGTTGGCAAAACCTGTGCTTCTTGCAGTGAAAACCATGCCCGTGGTGCACAGAGTGACAGAAGGGGCTGACTAGGCTGCAGAGGGCAGGATCTTTGTGTTTAGAGTCTGGTTGATTTATTTTCTTAACACCTTAGAAAGGTGAAATAATGGTGAGACTCAGTTATACCTCCTTCCCGCTGCTAGGGCTTGGGGAACTAATCTCTAATCCTATTGCACTAAGATGCTGAACTGGCTGCCAACCTGGGCAGGCAGTGCCAAGGCTTTCTCTGTGTTGGGGATGCCCTTGTTTTGCCTGTGGCAAGAGTGCTCTGGCAAGAAAAGGCACCAAGACCAGTGTGGTGTTATATCTGTGACCTTAAGAGCAATCTCAGAATAGATTGTGAAACTGAGAAGGTGGTGGGTATGGAGGAGCCTGGTTTACACTCGTCCCACCAAGATCTAGAAACATTCAGAACTGATTCAGTTAGGTACAACAGCAGACCAGTGAGAAGAGGGGTTGATTCATCTCTGTTTGTGGTGCAGTTTCATGCACTGTGAACCTTTCAGCCATGCCCTTGGAAGGGAAAAGCCCATACCGTGTTCTCCATTAATGAGCAGAGGAATGTTGCCATGCCCAGAGGCTTCTTGGAAAACCCACTAAGAGCAGTGTAAAGTCCTGGATATCAAAAGCCCTAAGCCTGCCAGTGTTTTCATCCCTGCTGGTAAATGGAGTTTGGAGACAGATCTCTTGTCCCTTGCTACTTCAACCTCATGCATTGAGTGCAAGAGCAGGTTGTGCAGAGCTGCTCGCTGGGTTGTGCTAATGGCTTGTCTGATGGGATGAGGGCAGTTCAGGGTACATTCTGCCCCTTCCAATACAGTGTTCTCAGGCTGGCCTGCTTTTGACAATAGCAGATGACAAAGATTTTAATTGTTTCAGTACATCTTCTTTCCCTGAGAGCAGTCAGTTCCTTGGGGATCGCTGAAACTCCTTTTCTAATGATTCAGAAGTGTTTCTTTACTCCAGAAACACTTGAGTTCATTGCTGCATTTAATAGTCTGTTCTTGGTTTTTCTCCCTTGCAGTCTTAGGAAAAGTCCTGAGTGCAGTGGGCAGTGCACAGTTACTAATGTCACAGAAATTCCAGCAATTCCATGGTCTCTGTGAACAAAACTTGGTGAGTCTGGATCTATTTCTCCTAGTTTTTGAGAAGGGGATGTATCTGTTTCAACAGCATAACACGAACATGATCAGGTACTAACAGGCTGCTGTCACTAAAACCAGAGCCAGTGTAGCTGTCACCTACAACCTGAGCACCATGCCATGCCGGATGAATGCTGATTTAAGCCAGCAGCTGAGCAGTGGGATGCTGTCACCTCACCCTCTCCTGCACAGACAGTTGTTGTGCTGTGCTGTGCTCAGGGAGGAGTGTTTGCACTTCCTTTTGGCACTTACATGAGCAGTGGGGAATTCTCTTGAGCTGCTGCTCAGGGCATGCTGAATACACCAGGTCTCTGGGTCTGAATTGTCAGCTGGCCACACTCCTGTTTGTGCTAGAAACAGCTACTTGTTACTCCTAAAGGGCTTTTTTGAGGGGAATCAGTGAGGTTTTGCCAAATTGGGGGGGGGGGGGAATATGTTTGAAAAGTCTGTCGTCCTCCAGACATGCTTGTTTTGCGTGTTGCTTACTTGTATGGTAAAACTGTCCCAACAGGGCTGTCCTTCTGGGTCACAAAGCACTGTTGGGGTTGGGTCTCTTTGAATGTAGTGCAAGGGTTTGCCTCGCTGAGAGCTGAAGCTGAACAGGGCTAATTGAGAGTAGAGTTGCTCAGACCTGATCCCATGGTTTCCTGAGATGATCCAGGTATATGATGGAGTTCAGATGTCTCAGAACTTGGAAGAATCTGTTCATGAAAGAAACTTAGGCTACTTAAAGTTTTCAGCCTAGCCTGAGAAATACCAATGCTTTCAGACTGTTTTGTGGGGGATGTAGCAAAGTAATTTAACTCATGAAAGCTTTGGCTTCTTTCAGTCACTATGCCCTAACATGCCAGTTCTCAGGTGTTAGAGCTCTGCTTTGCATCGTGTTGTGCTCGCTTCCATTATTATCACTCTGAAATCAGGATCTCTCTGTAAGAAACCAGTGTTCTAGCTCTGAATCGCATACTGTGGACCTTCAAGCTGGAGAACATATCTGAAAGGGCTTTTTATGCTTTCCCTTACAGAACCCTAATGCCAATCCCAGACCCACAGCCCAGGACCTAGCTGGGTTTTGGGATCTCCTCCAGTTGTCCATTGAAGACATCAGCATGAAGTTTGATGAGCTGTACCACCTGAAAGCAAATAGCTGGCAATTGGCAGAGACACCGGAGAGAAAGGTGAGTGTGGGGTTGTTGAGACTGGCCAGAGCACCTTGCAGGCATTCGGGTATGCGAGGTCTATTTCTGTCTGCAGACAGAAGATCTCTAGGGCTTTTACCTCCTTGCCCTTGTGCAGTGTAATCTCACAGCCTTGCAATGTACTGAGAGCATTCCTCTTGAGTAATAGTGGAAACAATTTTGTACAAGGGGAAAAAAGTGGTATGATGGAGAGAGAGCAGAGTGATGAGTGGTGGTGTGTGCTTAAAGCAGGGATGCAGAGGCCTCTAGTGTTACAAGCACTGTATGAAGAGGCTTTAACTATTCCTGGTGTTGGAGTAGTCTAAAAAACACCTACTGGAACCTTTTGAAAATGCAGCACAGGCTGTGTCCAGGCTGCCTGCCTAAAGAGGAGAGTAGGTAGGAGGACTATGGCTCTGGGCAGGGTGGCATATTAAAGTTGAGTTCAGTCTTCATGTGCTCTGATGTGTAGCTGGGCTGACTCTACAAACCCTAATCCACTTCACCAAAGGCCTGTGTACCATGCAACGCAAAATAGCACATTTCTAGACGTAGGAGAAGCTCATTTTGAGACCTTTGCTCAAGAGCTGCTCCTGCTTCTTTCACCTGCCACTTGATCTCATTGCTTAGTCCCTCATGCCACGAGTCCCCACGACATCAGAGCAAGCTTTTGATGCTTGGGTTTTTCCTTACTGTCTCCCTAAAGGAGGAGAAGAAACCACCCCCTCCAGTGCCAAAGAAGCCAGCCAAGTCCAAATCCCAGCTGAACCGGGACAAAGCCTCTGATTCAGACAAGCAGCGCCAGGAAGCTCGCAAGCGTCTCATGGCAGCCAAGCGGGCGGCCTCGGTGCGGCAGAACTCGGCCACGGAGAGCGCAGACAGCATCGAGATCTACGTCCCCGAGGCCCAGACCCGCCTTTGAGCCCAGGGGCAGAGGAAGGAACCGTGTGGTTTTTATAAGTCATTAAAAAGGCAACAAAAAAAAAAAAAACAAAACACAAAAGGTTCTCTTAAACTAGTGTGGTTTCTTGAGTCTGGAGACAATGAGCCATGCTCGCAAAGGGCTCCCGAGTTGGCTTTTTTTTTTTTTCCTCTCAGCTTTAAGTAATGAAGATTTTAAAAAAAAAAACAAACAAAACAACAAAAAAAAAGAGGAATTCCCCCTCGTTTTCTCCCTGGCTGTGGTGTTGCTGAAGGGACTGAAGAGACTCCTGGAAACTCCGACCCCTCGACTTGGACCTTCGGTCTTTTTACTTGTTCTATCTAATGAGAATTATTAGCTTGTTTACAAGAAGAGGACAAGACAACATGAAGCCTTGAGCACTTGCCATGCTGTGTTCTTCCTCCTCCTCGGTTCTGTTCTTCCTTCTCATCCTTTTAGTTTGACCTGCTCCTGCCTCCTTTCTCCCACCCCTTTGCATGGCTTTGTTTAACCGTGTTAGAAACAACCTCTCTTCCACCGAGCTCCCGAAGAGAACACCCATTCAGTGTGTACTCCTGTTGCACTCTGCTAGCAAGCAGCCTTTCTTGGGGTGGGGGGGTGCTTTGTTTTCCTTTTGATGGGGGATATCGGGGTGGGGGGAGGATGGGGTGGGCAGGGGCAGGGTCATGGGTTTGTATTCCTCTTGTTTGATTGAAGTTGAGAGGATGACAGGGTCTGTGGAATGTAACTGCAGAGTTGTTGAAATGCAGCCCAGAAGCAAATGTGCAATAAGGTAGCAAAGGGGGGGGGGGGGGGGGGGACAGTGCTTGGCTAGCTGATTTGGGGAGAGCACTACCCTACTCCAGGCCCAGGAGCTGAAGGAGCACAGAGCAACTCCAGGCACGATCCACACATGCTTCACTTTGTTGGGTTTTTTTTTCCTCCTCTTTTATTTTTTATGAGATTATTTTCAATGAATTGCGTGTTGAGAAAGAAGCTGCTACACTGGGGGGTGGGGGGAACCTGTTTCACAGGGGCAGTGTGATGGTATATCAGGGTGGGAGGAGTGGGTTTTGTACAGAGGAAGGCACAGGTAGCTGGTGGTAGGCTGCCTGCCTGTATGTATGTGTACATATGCACATATACACTTAGTAGTACCTGTACATTGAATTCATACACACGTATACATGCCCATACACACAGTGCAGACGGTGTGCTTAAAAGCACCTTGGTGAGAATGGGCATATGTATAGCATATATTTTTACATGTACTATATCTAGATGTGTGTAAAAGTGTGTGTAAAAATATATACCCTGTGTGTAATCAGATGACTATTTTTTCCTTATCTCCCTGCTCTCTGGGTAGAGGAAGGATTGCTACATATTTTTTAGCTCATTTTTCCCCTTTGTAGGTCTCCTTTTCAGCCTGGCTTCTTGAAGCCACATCTGCCACCACCAAATTCTTTGCCACCCCCTCCAAAAAGCAGAGCATTTGGCCTCATTCGGAGTGATCTGGTGCGATTTGGGTTTGGTTTTTTTCCCTTCACTTGCTCGAATGAGTTGGGAGATTGTGTGTTACTTTTATGGGGGTAGAATCCCAGAGATGGAGTCTGAATCCCAACGAGGGTGTTGGTGATCCAGAAGGCAAAAAGTAAAGGTAAATTGTGAATGATGGCTGAGTTACAATTATATGCTGTGAACTGTTGTCCATGCACAGATGCTCTTAGAGATTTACTCTCAAATGTGAAATTGGGTTTAATGTAACTCAAATCCTGCATTGGTTTTGACGGTTGTGGGTAGAGATACTGATGTGTTGGGTTGCACTGTTGTAAAGATGCTGTTTTCGAGATCTCTAGCACTGAACCGGGGACACAAAGGAAAAGGGTGGTTGGTTTGTTTGTTCTTATTTACTCCTCCAGCCGTGTCTGAGGCTGCTGTGGGGGGGAGCTGGCCTGGAAGGCTGGTTTTTCTGGGGCTCATTTTGTTTCCTGCCACCTTGGAGGAGGAGAACTCACAGCAGCAAGGGCAGCTGGCTGACTTACCATACAAACCACGATCAATAAACAGATGCAGTCTGACTTTACAGCGCCTGCTGGTCTCTCTCCCTCTTTATTCCCAGTGGGGTGTGTGGTGCTGGGCTGCAATGGGCTGGTGGGGGGGGGACGGGACTATATATATTTAATCTTGACAGCTTTATAAATGTACATATATATATTAAAATATCTACAAATATAGATGTATATGTCTGAAACCGATGTGTTTATACATATTCATACCCCTTTATATAGATAATTATATATAAATCTCTGTCTTTTTACTCTTCTGGGTCCTGAGGCGGCAGCAGCCAATCAGGGGGGAGCCTGAACGCACGTGGATGTCAAGAAAGAGCTCTCAGCCAATCAGAGCTGCGTGACGTTTAACAAAATGGCTGCTCCCTGCTATAAGATGGCGGGTGAAACAAAATGGCTGCGCCCTGTGTGCATAAGGGGGTTGGCGTTCCGTGTTGAATGCACTTCCGGGTAAGCCAGTGGGCGGGGCGGCTGGTGCTGGCAGCCAATCACAGCAGGCTGTGTGACTGCTGTGGCAAATGGGATGCGTGCGTGCCGAGAGGGGGCGGGGCGGAGGGGGAGCAGCGGGGCGGGCGGGGATGGCTGCGCCTCGCCCCACAGCTCCCCGCAGGCCCGAGCGGCTGAGCCCGCCCTGGGCACCTCGGGGGAGGTCTGGGCTGTGCTGTGCTGTGCGGGGCAGAGCCCCCGGGTGTTGTGTGAGGGCAGCGCAAGGCGGGGTGTCCCTGGGGAAGGGTGAGCCTGTGCGCTGTGCATCCCCTGTCCGTCCCCCGCCTGCTCGGTGCTGCTGTCCTCTCTGCTCGGCTCCGCGCTCACGTTTATCCTCTGCATACCCCGTGTGCCGCTGCCTGCCTGCGGTACCAGCCCCGCACGTGTCTGGGAGGCCAGTGCCCCAGAAGCGGGGCGCCATGGGGTGTGCCCTGAGAAGCAGAACCGGGAGAGCGAGGACCAGCCAGGTACGAGCAGCACGGCAGGAAGCAGGAGGGGATGGTTTGCACTGCGCTGACCACACGTCCCTGTGGGCTCAGGCACCCTTGCTGGTCATCCCGGTCACGCTGTTGCGGGGTGCGGTGTGATGCCTTGCACTGGTCCCTTACCCCTCCCATGGGTCCTCAGGAGCCCCGAGATGCTCAGCAGAGGCTGCAGGAGGGGCAGGCAGAGTTCACATTCATTGAGCTCACAGTCCCCTGCCCCAGTGCTGGCCCCTGCCCCATTCCTCACCATGAGCACAAAGCACAGGCTGCGGGATGCCCGCTGCCAGCCCTGTCACCAGAGCTGCCCAGGGGTGACCCTGGGGCCCTGTGCCTCCATCCTTCCATAGGGCAGGGGAGCCGGGGAAGGGGCACAGAGCCCATCGGGTCACCCTACGCCGTAGCAGGCCAGTGGTAAGGGGGCTGCAAAGGGCTTGAGTTGGTGCTAACCCCTGCTGTGGTGGAGGGCATGTCTCATCCCAAGGGAAGCAGTCACCAACCTGGCACAGAGCCTGAAGCTCTGTGTGAAGAACCAGCATTCACACTGCTAGGGCATACAAGGGGCTCACTCAGCCCTTCTGCAGTGCCCATGTCCTCTGGGTCTCTGCCCACCTCCCAGGCTCCAGCCCCAGCAAATTGTGAAGGAACCCCACTGACATTGCTTCTTTCTTCCCCTTCCAAGGGGCTGCTTGTCTCATTTCCACAGTGCTGGCCAGGAGGAGAGGAGACACAAACACATCAGCCCTCTGCTGCTGCCAGATGCTTCCCGGCTCCATGATCATGCTGTGGGAAGCGAGCACATCACATCCCATCAGACCAACCCCTGGAGCATGGCCCGTGCCAGGCACTGGCCCCGCTTCTTCCACACCCAGCACATTCCTCAGGCCCTTGAAGCAGCTTTGCCGGACATCAGGAGGTGGGAGCTGGTGGTAAGGGAGGAGCAAGTGAAGCCACCGCAGCTGACGCAGTCCAGGCTCACACACGGCTCGTACTTAAAAAACAAGAAACAAACTAGAAAACTTTTATTTGACAACGGAAGAACGAACAAAAAGGTATTTACAGCAGTTTTGTTTTGCTCCGTGCGTTTCGTTCCAACAATCCCTGCCCTCCCCTCGCGTTCTGGTCCATCTCCAGGTCCATGGCCCAGGCAGAGCTGTAGCACTCCTGCCCTCGGGGAGGAAACCGCTTTGGTTTGACTGGGGCAAAATTAACGGGAGGAGACCAAAAAGCCTCTCTGGGGGGAGGAAACTGACCTGCAGGGTGGGGGCTACCTACAAATAAGAGAGGGAGGCCTAAAATTCAGGAAGGAGGCAGGGAGCAAAGGCTGGGTGTAAAATGGAGCTGGGGGAGAGGAGGAAGGGGATGTTCACAGCCACCCCATAAGCATCCTCTGTGCATGCCAGTGCTGGAGCCAGCCCTGTGCAGCTCAGGGGCACCCAGCCTGTGACACAGCACTGGCACAAACCTTCTGCAGCCCCAGCAGCACTCGGGAGCTCCTCTCCCCATCACCTTCTCTCTGAAGAAAAGGGAAGGGCAGCACCAGCCACTAAAAGCAGTGCTGCTCCCTTCCAGGCCCCACCACCCTGCAGGGTGCTGCTCCCCCAGCACCTCTGGCTCCAACCACTGCAGAGCACCAGGTCCTCTGGACGTTATTAACTCTAATCATGCAACTCAACAGTCAGGCTAATTTCCTAGATTAGTGTTTCTCAGGATAGATAACATAAGTGTGCACCACTGTAACTTACATTTTGCAGTGAAACAGCAACAGCTCAGTCCCAGCGCCAGCGCAGCACCCAGGCTGTGGGTGAGCAATGCCCAGGCTGGGGCACAGCCAGCTCCCAGCAGGGACCAGCTTGTCACTAGAGGTCCCCAGCACCGCGCAGCCACCAGCCCTGGAGAGCAAGAGCAGGAGGAAGGGAGCAGGGACTCATCCCTCTGCTTCCCAGTGCAGCTGGTGGATGAGGCAGCTCTGTTTGCCGGGAGCCCATAGGCTGCAGGCTGGGAGTGCTGCACTAACAGGTCACCACACAGGCCCCTGCCCACAACATGCCTCTTCCCACACTAGTTTTTAACCAAAAAACGAGAAAATCAAGAAGTTGGATATAAAGTTTTCACAGTCTCAGCTTCACATCCACCCCCAGCAGCCGCCTGCAGTCAGCACCACGCAGGCTCTGCACCGTGCTCTCTGTTCCAGGGCACAACATTGAGCAGGAACTGGAGAGGAACACGGAGGGGGGGGGCTGTGGAAATGCTGAAGAGAAGAAACAAAAACGTAATAAAAATCATATAATAAATCACAATTAAAGGGAAAATGTTTCAACAAAAAAAAATTGCTAAACAGCACCATCGAGATTTCTACTGGCAGCATCTAAACAAAAAAGGAGGGTCCCGTGTTTTCCATGTGGAAAAAATACCACAGGCTTCGCGTTTCCAGTTCATCTGTGCTTTGCCCTTCGCTGGGCAAGGCAGGGCTCTGCCAGCACAAGGTACCAGGAGGGCCCTCCACAAAGAAAGGGGAAATAAAAAGGAGGGGGAGTGGGGAAAGAGATGAGAGATTTGGGAGGAAAAGCTTTTCATCCACAGTCCTTAAAACAGACACCAACTTTAAAACAAACATCAATTCTCTCTTTCTCTCCCTGCAGAAGCGGCGTTGGACCCTTGTTTACAGGGCAGAGAAAAAGAAGTCAGCAGGTTTCCCAAGGGGAGCTCCACAGTAACCCTCCGTGGCGGCAGGGAGAGGTCAGTAAAGCTGCAAAGGTCTTTTCACAACGGCCACATCCTCCCAAGGGCAGCAGATGGGAGCCATGGGACAGTCCCTCCTCTCCCCATCCTGGCTGGCACAGACACCAGAGCCCCACAAAAGGCAGGAGTCCTCTTCCATGACGAGCTGGTCAGGGGGTGCAGGCAGGTGGGTGGCACCGGTAGGGGGGAAGGGGGGGGGTCAGGCACCCCAAGGACCTGGCCATGGGGTTATTTGGAGAGGGCGGCTGCGGGGGGCTCAGTCTGGGGCGAGAGGGGCAGCTGCCCCCCCTGCCGCTGCGACTCCAGCTCCGCCGCCTTCTGCAGAGCCACCTCCACCAGCAGCTGGAAGCTGCTGAAGTCGTCCCCAAAGAGCTCTGGGGGTGTGGGGGGGGGCGTGTTGAAGAGTCCGCTGGTGGGGCTGGCTGCCTCGGCGCGGGCCAGCAGGGTCATGGTGCTGCCGGGGGCACCCAGCGCTGCCTTGGGGACAGGGTCCGGCTCCGCTCGCTGCGGCCCAGGCGGCTTCTCCCAGTCGGGGCTGTGGGCGCTCACCACCGTGAGGCTGCTGCCCAGCGCCTGGGCAGGGTGGCACAGTACCTGCGGGCACACGGACATGGACAGCACCTTGGAGGCCCCCGCGGCCGTCACGGGGGGCACCACCAGCACCCCGGAGCCGGCAGCAGCCCCCCGCGGCAGGGCCACGTCGCCGGCTTTGCCCCCTCGGCGGGAGATGGTGAACTGGTTGGGGTCCTTCCCGTCCTTGCGCAGCATGTCGGGGAGCAGCCGCCGCCGCGCGTTGATGAACCAGTTGCAGATCTGGGAGGAGAGAAGGGCACAGCGCTGTCAGCACAGGGCTGGGAGCCCGAAGCCAAGGTAGCAAAAGCCTCTCCAAAGCCAGCAAGCAGCTCCCACACTGTTCCTGCCCCCCAGCCCTGCACCTCCCTCCCGTGGGGCTCCGCAGAGGCAGAGCTGCTCCAGGCAGGGCTTGCCCAGGCATGCACGGAAACCCCAACGCCGGCTGCTTCCTGCCTGGCACCACCAGCCCCTTCCTCTCTGCAGCCCCATCCCGGCTGCCTGTGGCACAACGCTCCCCCTGAGCCCTGCCAGCACACCCGGGCAGGGACCGTGCATGGTGCCAGCGCCCGACACCACCACTGGCACCTTCTCATCGTGCCAGTATCAAAAAGAGTCTTGGCAGTTCTGGGGCTGAGCCACCCCATGATCCGCAGCAAGGCTGCACACTGGAGCTGCCCAGCCCGTTTCCCCAGGGAAGGATGGGCCCAGCACTGACACCCCAAAGTCCCAGCAGCTGACAGTGCCCAGCCTTGTGCAGATGAAGCAGGGTGCAGCCTCCAGCACCCTCCTGAGGGTCCCTCCTATCCTGCAGCCAGAGCCTGGGGTGTTGCACAGAGCCAGCGTGGAGCCCAACAGCACCAAGCAGGTGTTTGTTCTGGGGTGAGTTTTCCCCATCTCCAGGTGCCAGCCTGGATGGGAGCACTGAGGCTGCACAGAGCAGACAGACAGCAGCACGGATGGAAAACCCTAAACCCCATCAGCTCAGGGAGCTGCAGCCCCCCATCCCCTACGGGGGTGGCAGGGATTGCAGCAGTACATCCACACCTTCCCGTGCCTCCTGCCAACGAGGCTACAGCCAACTTTAAACCTCTTCCAAACATCTGCACACCAAAGAGGAAGCCCTTCAGAAACACAGCAGCCATGTATTCAGCCTTGGCCATGTATTCAGCCTTGGCCATGTATTGTTTCAGCATCTTTCTATAAAATGCTGCATTAAAATAACTGCTTTCTTCCTAGAAAACAATTAGAAGAGAATAAATCGTGGAGGGGGGAATGACTGATCTTTGCTAAATCAACAGCTATGGAAAATATTTCCCCCAGGGAGAGAGAACTCACCACAACTTCGATCGCAGCGAGATCTCAGTTGTTCTTTGTCTTTGAGACAGTATTTGTCATTTAACATCCTCACATACACTCGTCTCACCCCTTTTTCCCTTCCAAACCCTCCCTTGCGAGCCTTAGCTGGGTCCCCATGACATGATCTTGTGATCCCATGGCCATCAGTCGCTGTAATCCCCAACCAGAGGGCTGGACTTCCAACAAAAACCCCAACCAGCACCGAGAAGCTCCTAAAATCCTGCTGTGCCCCCAACATCTCCTTCCAGCTTTCAGCTCCCTCTGGAGAAGGCAGCACAGAGATGGGCACAGGCACCAGTGACACCGCAGCGCACCGCACGGTGTCACCCACCCAGGAGCTGGGATCAACCTCAGCTTTGAAGCAAGAAGCTTTTTGCTTCTTTCCAAGCACAGCCATCGCTTGGCCCCACCACAAGCACACCTGGGCTGTCCCTTTGGGCAGTGTCTGCCCCCTCCACCACCACGAGAGCAGCATCCCCTCTGCAGGGAGGAGGAGCCCATCCCCACAGGAGGGCACACGCTTGGAAAGCTGCTGTTGTCCTGGAAGCCTCGCCAGGAGCAGGCACTGCTTTTGTACCTCCCCACTTTCTGCCCTGCAGAGCCGGGGTGCTGTGCTTCTGATCCCTGGCTCCAGCTCCCTGGATACACAACTGAACAACCAGGGGTGCGTGGCCCGCAGCAGCAGCAGAGCCCTGAGCTCAAGAGGCTCCTGGAGGTGTTGGATCAGCATTGATGGATCAAACCCTGCAGCCAAAGCGTGTCCCACACCTCCACCCACCCAACAGGCTTCTCCTCCCAGATGCAGCCTGTTGGGTCACCTCAGACTGACACAAACCCCAGTGGCAGCCATGGGAAATGCCCCCGGAGGGGACCCCCAGCCGGGGGGGGGGGGGGGGGGGGACACTGGGCAGCCTCTGCATCAGGCACACAGTGGCTGCAGGGAGTCCCATGGGACAAAAAGCCAGTGCAAAGCCACACCTCAAAACAAGCCCGTGTGCCTGCAGCATCCTCCTTGGACCCAAACTGCCCAGGGCACAAACACTGCCACAAGCCCTTGGGTAAACCCCTGTATGCCAGAGGCCATATATCTGGGTTTGTCCTGTCCGCACCAGCCCCGGTCCATGACAACCCCAGATTCCTGCAGCCCCAAACCCATCGCTGTGCTCTGACTCGAGCCCTCCCGGGACCAGCACCTCAGAGCAGCTCGGACACAAACTTGGTGCAAAACCAGGATTTAAATAATCCATTAAAATGAAAAGAAAGTTGGCCTTGGCCAGGAAGATGGAAACTAGACACAGCCACTGCCCACACACCAGTGTCTGCCTGGCCAGGGCCATGCTGAGCTACAGGGAAAGAAGCCAGGGGTGCAGGGGAAAGCCCAAGGAGAGGAGCTCAGCTGCAAACCCACTGCCCCTTGCCTGCTGCCCTGCACACAAGAGCTGTTTCCTACCCTGCTGTCAGAACCAGAGCATCTCCTTCCCTGTCAGGAAGGCTGCTGGTGTTCCCATGGATCAGTGGGACAGGCAGCTCTTCCTGACACCCTAAGAGCAGGCAGGGTGAAAGCCAAAGCTGAAAGGAAAAGCACTGCTCATGCCCGCTGCTCCTGGCTGGGCATCCATCACAGCACCCCAAGGAGAACAATCAACCCACAACCAGGGGACACCTGCCCCAGAGCACTCAGCTGGACTGGGGTTTCCTTAATACACCTGGTGTAACTGGGTGCAGCTGGCCAGCCAGTCCTTGGGGCTGCAGAGGGGCAGTAGCCCTGGCCCCTTTACTGGGGGTGTCCAGGGGAAGAGGATAAAGAAGCCCCCCCTGAAGCCCTCCCACCCATAGGGGCTGTTACTAACAGAGTATTGCTGAGTTGGTCCCCATCCCAGTCCATCCATGTTCTGGCCAGCCAAAAACCTCTACTCCAGCACTGCCATAAAACTGGTCCCCAGGGCTCAGCCCTCTTCCCAAAAGGATGCTGCCATGTGCCAGTGGCTTTGCTCCCCTGCGTTCCCTCGCTTGCCTCCTCACTGCCTTTCAGTGGCAAGTGATTCCAGCATCCCAAATCCTTTGGGATCTCCAGCAGGGTTCTCGCAGTCCGGCCCTTCCCAAGCCCCGCGGCACAGGACCCAGCAGCACCCCCAAGACGTGGGGACTGGCTCCTACCTGCAGCACAGAGAGGCTGGTCTGCCCCGAGAGGCTGAGCTTCTCCTGCTCCGAGGGGTAGGCATTGAAGCGGTGCTCGTAGAGCCAGTCCCGGAGGATCTTCACAGACTCCTTGGGGAGGTTGCCCCTTCTCTTCCTCTTGTTGGGCTGAGAGGGGTCGGGGGACGTGGCGCTGTCGTCCTCCCCGAGGTCACTATCCGACATGGTGGAGCTGCCCGCAGACCTCTCCTGCTTAAAGCCTGCCAAGGAGGAGGGGACCGAACAGCGGGCATCAGGCTGGGAGTGCAGGGGGGAGCACAGCCACAGCCACCCCCCCCCCGCACCTCAAACATGGGGGGCGGCTCCGTGCCCAGCTTTGGGGTGATGCAGATGAGCCCCCCGAGGGGAGAAGAGTTACAGGCACCGCCTGATCCCCCCCCCCCTCCCGGCACTCTGGGGGTCTCGGGCTCGCCGATAACAAACGGAACACGGAGGGGGGGAGCTCCAAGTAAATCCATCCCGGCCGGAGGAAGAGGCCGGAGCCGCTGCGGGGCCAAGGCACCACGCGGGGTCATTGTGCGGCCTCCCCGCGCCGCTGTCACCGCCGCCCCCCCCTCCCCGCAACAGGTACCGCGGGCCGGGCCCCGCAGACACAAAGCGGGGGAGCGGCGAACCCGGCCCCCCCCCCCCCCTTCCCGCACCTCCGCGCCCCGCTCCGGGGGGGAGGCGGAGGGGAAAGAAAGAGGAACCGGAGACCCGCCCGCGGCCCCGCACCGGGCACGACCGGCCCCGAACTGCGCGAACAACCTCGGCCAAGTTGGAAGCGGCGCGGGGAGGGAACAAAACCCCCGAGCGCGCCCGGCCGCGGCTCCCGCAAACTTTTCACGCCGGGGGCGGCTCCCGGCCCGGCCCGGCCGCACAAAGGCGTTGGGACCGCGCCGTGCCCGCACCCCCAGCCCGGCTCGGCGCTCTTCGAGACGGTTCGGGTCCGCTCGGCCCGGCCCGGAGCCCCTCGGCTCCACTCGGCTGCGCTCCGCCGCGCCGCAGCCCGGCCGGGACTCCATGTTTGCCGCCCGCCCCGCTGCGCTCTTACCCCCGGGCCGCCGCCGCCGCCGCCGCCTCGGCCCTTGCATGGGCCGCCCCGGGGTCGCGCCGCCGCCGCCGCTCCGGTGCCCGGTGCCGGTTGCCGGGGGTGCAGCGGGGCCCTCCCGCGGCGGCGGGGCGGGCGGCCGAGGCGCAGCGAAAAGTTTTGGGTGGGCGGCGGTGACAGATGCCGAGACAGAGTTCCCTTTGTTCCCGAGGAGGCAGGAACTCGGCCGGGCCCCCCGCCCCCGGCCCCGGCCCCGGCCCCGGCCCGCCCGCCCCCGGCTGTCACCGCCGCCGCACCGGGCAGCGGCACCCGCCCCGCCGCCACACGGGCCGGGACCTGGCGGCAGCCCCGCGCCCAGACACGGTGCCCGGAGGGACACCCCACAGCCCCGCACGGCGCTGCACCCAGCACCCATCCGGGACACCCGAACAGGGACACCCGAACAGGGACACCCGAACAGAGACACCTGAATAGGGACACCCGAACAGGGACACCTGAATAGGGACACCCGAACAGCGACACCTGAATAGGGACACCTGAACAGGGACACCCAAACAGGGACACCTGAACAGGGACACCCGAACAGAGACACCTGAACAGGATACCCGAACAGGGACACCCGAACAGGAACACCTGAACAGGGACACCCGAACAGGGACACCTGAACAGGGACACCCGAACAGGGACACCTGAATAGGGACACCTGAACAGGGACACCCAAACAGGGACACCTGAACAGGGACACCCGAACAGGGACACCCGAACAGGGACACCCGAACAGGAACACCTGAACAGGACACCCGAACAGGAACACCCGAACAGGAACGCCTGAACAGGACATCCGAACAGGGACACCTGAACAGGGACACCCAAACAGGAACACCCGAACAGGGACACCTGAACAGGGACACCCGAACAGGAACACCCAAACAGGGACACCCGAACAGGAACACCCGAACAGGGACACCTGAACAGGGACACCTGGACACCCAAACAGGGACACCCAAACAGGAACACCCGAACAGGAACACCCGGACAGGGACACCTGAACAGGGACACCCGAACAGGGACACCTGAACAGGGACACCCGAACAGGAACACCTGAACAGGGACACCTGAACAGGGACACCTGAATAGGGACACCTGAACAGGGACACCCAAACAGGGACACCTGAATAGGGACACCCGAACAGGGACACCCGAACAGGGACACCCGAACAGGACACCCGAACAGGAACACCCGAACAGGAACGCCTGAACCGGACATCCGAACAGGGACACCTGAACAGGGACACCCAAACAGGGACACCCGAACAGGAACACCCGAACAGGGACACCTGAACAGGGACACCTGGACACCCAAACAGGGACACCCAAACAGGAACACCCGAACAGGAACACCCGGACAGGGACACCTGAACAGGGACACCCGAACAGGGACACCTGAACAGGGACACCCGAACAGGAACACCTGAACAGGGACACCTGAACAGGGACACCTGAACAGGGACACCCGAACAGGGACACCCGAACAGGAACACCCGAACAGGGACACCTGAACAGGAACACCTGAACAGGGACACCCGAACAGGGACACCTGAACAGGGACACCCGAACAGGGACACTCAAACAGGAACACCGGAACAGGGACACCCGAACAGGAACACCCGAACAGGAACACCTGAACAGGACACCCGAACAGGGACACCTGAACAGGGACACCTGAACAGGGACACCTGAACAGTACACCCATGGGACACCCAAACAGGAACACCTCAACAGGACACCCGAACAGGAACACCTGAACAGGGACACCTGAACAGGGACACCCGAACAGGGACACCTGAACAGGGACACCCATGGGACACCCAAACAGGAACACCCGAACAGGGACACCTGAAAAGGGACACACAAACAGGGACACCTGAACAGGGACACCTGAACAGAGACACTTGAACAGGAACACCCGAAGAGGAACACCTGAACAGGGGCACCTGAAGAGGGACATCTGCACCAGGGCACCCATGGGACACCCGAACAGAGACACCTGAACAGAAACACCCAAACAGGAACACCTGAACAGGGACACCTGAACAGGGGACACCTGAACAGGGGCACCTGAACAGGGACATCTGCACCAGGACACCCATGGGTCACCCAAACAGGAACACCCAAACGGGACACCCCCGGACGCCCTCACAGGACATCCACCCAGGACACCTACGGACACCTGCATGGAACATGCGTACAGGAACACCCACATGGGACACCCATACAGGGGCACCCAAACAGGGACACCTGAACAGGGATACCAACCTGGGACCCACACAGGGACCCGCACAGGGACCCGCACCCATGGGCATCCCCACAAGGCACCGCGCAAGCTCCTTCTTTCCTCCAGCCGTGTTAATGCTGACCCCAGTACCTGAGCACCGAGGGGTTACTGGTGCCCATGGGCAGGCACTGGTTGCAGGGCCAGGCCCTCAGTGCCATGGGTTACTGGTGGCGCTGGCAGTGCTGGGAATGGTTGGACTCAACATGATCTTAAAGCTCTTTTCCAAGCCGGTTGATTCCATGATTCTGTGACAGCCCCAGGGACCTCAGAGCGCTGAGGCTCCACGGGTGCTTCCTTTGGTGGCTTTCTGATGTAGTAACTAGGAAATGAGAAGCTCAGCACATCACTGCTGCCATGAAGGTGGAAGGTGTTTCAAAGCGAGGGTGATGATCCCATGGGTCAGGCACCCCTGGGCTGTATGGACAGGGCAGGCTGGTCCCCTCCAGCCTCTTCAATGGAGAAGACTGAGCAGCAGCATCCCAGCAAGGAGACCTCCGCTTTAAGGATGTCCATGCCCCCAGTCCATGAGGATTTCCACACTCACCCTCACCAAGCCAAGCACAGCATCCCCAGGGACCTTCGTACAACCCGGGTGCCTCAGGTCCTGCCCTTCTCCAGGCAGAGCCTGTTTGCAGCGGGTGTTTGCTCTCCCCTCCCAGGCTCTGTCCTCACAGGCCATGCTGCAGCTCCCTTCCTTGCCCTTATCATGGGTATCCCTTTGGGTATCGAGAAAGGTTGCAAAAACCCTTCTATGGTAGGGTTTGGGCCCATCCAAAGCAGATTCTGTGGAGCAGTACAGGATTAAATAGCCAGGAAAACCAGAGAATTCCTTAAAGCATTTGTTTAGTTGCTGCTAAAGCTTCACTGTCCCGAGTGAAACTGTCCCCTCAGATTGCCATTGCTCTGTTAATGCAAGTGGGGTGTGGGCTGGTGAACCCCAGGGGAGGTGTGGGGCCAGCCATGCAAATCTGTCCTTCCAGCAGCCTGCTTTTGCTCCCACCCTTTGGAAAGAGCTGTACTAAGTCCTGTGCCCAACTGAGACACCAGGGAAATGGTCCCTGAGTTCAAATACCTGCCCTGGGCTGCAAATGCCTGCAGGTACAGGTAGTGTGGAAGCAGCTTTGGGAAAACCCCACTGGGTGCCTGAATTCTGGGGCAAACCCAGCCTGGAGCAGGAGCCATGGGGCAGGGGCCAGGGGCCAGGGCAGGGGCTTCTCCCTGCCTGCCCTCACCTGGGGCTTGTTCAGGGCCCATTGACATTATAATGCTGTTAAACTTCAGCAATTTGAAAGACAATCAGGCAGCAAGAGCCCGAAAAGGGGTGCTGGAAGGGGTGCTGGCCACCAAGCCCATCCCACTCCCAACACTGGGAGAATCAGGTCACACAGACTGATCCTTTGGGGTCAGTCCTGTGCTGAGCATCACTCCTGGATGGAGACAGTTTGCCCACAGCACAGCAGAGACCTTGCAGCAGCTGGAGGCCCTTTCCCACACCATTGGGTTTATCTCCAGCATCACCCCATGTGCCCCAAAGTGAGCCATTCACTTTGGTGTGCGAAGGGGGCTTTTCAAAAGCATCCTGCCCTGTGGCAGCCTTCAGGGCTGGGACGTGGCTCTGGAAGTAGGAGAACTGTGGGTTATTCCCTGGTGCAGCAGGGAATTAGGGAAGGAGCCTGGAGGTGAGCAGGTTTGGGGCTGTTGCTGCAGTTCCTGAACCCACCCCCAATGTCCCCAGGGAGCACAGCAGGAGCCACACGCAGCACATCTCCATATCGCACCCATCAGGTTTTATGCACCGCGTCGGCCTCCCGAACCCCTCAGATCGCAGGCTCTAAAGCCATAAAACACGCAGGGAGGAGGAAACAAAGTGGAGGAGCCATGAAGAAAGGGAGTGCAGGAGGAGAGGGGAGAGGTGCTTTCTCTCTGTGCTATGGTCCTGAGATGGGGATCGCTCAGGCTCGAGCCAGCCAGAATCCCCACAGGCCAGCGCTCGCCTCGGATGCTCATCCCAGCCCCAGAGACCAGCAGCTCGGTGGCTTCGGGGGGGGGGGGGGGTTACAGCCAGGCTGGGGGTCCCAGTGGAGCGAGCCTGTGGGTGGGAATGGTGCTGGGGGTCCGGGGCTGATGGGTGGGCACACAGCGGCACAGTGATGGGAGCACTTCCCCTCCAAGCGTGACCCGATGCGGGGTGCTGGTCCTGGGAGGTGCTTCCCATGGGGGGGAGCCTGCTGTGGGGCAGCAAAGGGGAGCCGAGGGGCAGTGGGGGTGTGCGCAGGAGGGTGCAGAGGTGAGGTTCTAATCGTCCTTGTCCTTGGCTCCGTGCTTCAGGATGCGGGTGAACTCCACGTAGTTGAAGTTGCCCTTCTTGTCGATGGGCGCCTCGCGGTACATCTCATCCACCTCCTCGTCCGTGAACCTGTCTCCCATGGTGGTCAGCAGCTCACGCAGATGGTCCTCGTGAATGAAGCCTGCAGGGATGGCACAGGGTGCTGTTAGCAAGGGGACACTGGGGGAGTGCTGAGCCAAAGACACCCCTGCTCATCTCCCGCCCTGGAGCTGCTTGGGGACCATCCCAAAGGCTTTGGCCCCAGCCCTCATCATGGATGCATGGGGCTGTGCAGGCAGCGCCTGTACCTGATGCCTC